AATGATTTTACTTTTTTTCTTTTTTTTTTTTTTAGTTTATTTTGGCAGATAAGAAAAAAGGTAAATAAGAAATTCTACAGCATACAGAGTTCAAACCTTGTCCAAAAACATGTTTGATTATTTAATGCTTACAGGATGCAATTTCTTATGCTTTTCATATAGCATTTCTTCCTCAGAAAACTCAGCCAGTATTTAAAAGCACGTTGTTATAAATGACCTGGCCTTACAACACAGCAACCTAATGAGTCACCCGAGATCATGCTGAAGCTTACTCATAAGGAAGAATGCAATTTTTAGATCCTTAGCTTCTGACCTCACAGAGCATGATGCAAACTTTGCTTCCACAAGTGAGAAAATCGAGTGCAGGCAAGTCTTGACCATATCAAAGTGTTGGGACCTCGTACTGGAAGAAATGGAGCTCCAGGGTACCCTGCGCCTTCCTGGGACATTGCCTCCACAAGAAAAGCTGCCCATATGGAACAAGTGACTGCAACAGCCCTATGTGCACAGTCTCAAAGCAGATCTCTTTGGCAGCATCCTGAGTCTTCTCCAAACAGGCTGTGTACCTCCAAACACTCATGAGACTGGCTTAGAAATTATCATAGAATCATAGAATGGTTTTGGTTGGAAGAGACCTTTAAGACCACCTTCTTCCTCTGCTACAGGCAGGAACACCTCCCACTAGACCAGGTTGCTCAAAGCCCCATCCAGCCTGGCCTTGAATTCTTCCAGGGAGCGGGCAGCCACAACCTCACTAGGCAACCTGTTCCAGTGTCTCACCATCCTCACAGTAAAGAATTTCTCCCTAATATCGAGTCTAAATCTACCCTCTTCTGGTTTAAAAACATTGCTCCTCATCCTGTTGCTACATGCCCTTATAAGAAGTTCCAAGAAGCCTCCCTTCAGGTACTGGAAAACCACTATAAGGGCCCCTGCAGCCTTCTCTTCTGCAGACCCCAAATCTCTCAGCCTGTCCTCGTAGGGGAGGTGCTCCAGCTGTCTGATCATCCTCATGGCCCTTCTCTGGATCAGCTCCAACAACTCCATGTCCTTCTTATTTTGGGAGCCCCAGAACTGGACACAGTACTCCAGGTGGGGTCTCACAAAAGCAGAGTAGAAAAGAAGACTAAAACTTCTGTTTAAGTGTGTCTCTCTTCTTCCCCTCCTTCCCTGCACACAGACAACAGATACACCTGGATGCACCTGACATACCATGTGTACATATACCCATGGGTGTACGGATGTGTATGTATATACACATACCAGGTGGGTTTGTTTGCTTTTTTATTTTTCAGACTTGAGGAAGCCTAGGGTTTTAAATACTTCCATGACTGCTACCAATACAGTCATTTAAAAGGAGGAGGAGGGCAAGAGTGGAAAATGCCATAAATCACTTGATTCAAGGAAAAAACTTGTGAGCACTGGCAGTGACTGAACCAAGCCCAGAACATGAGTTAGCAAAGTTTCCATTCTTTCCCACTTTGAATTTTAATACTTTGAGTTACATTTTTTGCTACTGGCAAAAAGCAGCTTGTAAGAATCTTGGATTTTCTTCATTGTCATCATTTGAGTATTACTGATCTTTGCTAGCAGTAACTGACTACCAACTATTTCACCAAAAATAATATTTTGGTGCAGTTCCAGGTGAAGCTTTGATCCCTAGCTGGTATTTGTTGCCGTACAGCAGAAAACATATTTTGTAGTTACCCAGCCATGTGGCCATGAAACCTTCTACAGCTTCTCCCAGATAGAGAGTGAAACAGTCATATTGCAGCCTGGAACTCTTTTCTACAGATAATTTCTCAGCTGAGTTCAAAGAGAACTCCACTCCTTTTTGTGCTCTTTTCATGTGCCACATCCCTGACCACAAACAAGGACTCTCCTGCCTAATCAGAGGTTAGGCCATGGTGCTGGGGCAGTGAACATACGTTCTCAAGGCAGGGTGCTTAACTCCAGTGTTCCACCATGTAATGATCTGGACCTGCACTAGTAAATGGGAGAGAAGGTTAAGCATCTAGCTCAAAGCCAGCAATTTTAGTTACAGTGCAAAACCACTAGTGACAGTATATTAATATTTTTTCCAGCTAAATAAATCTCTAATGATTTTTTTTTTTTTTCTTCCAGATTTTGGAACTGGTGGTAGGGGAAAAGAGAAAGAATTCTCCTTGGAAACATAGACCTTCAGACTTTTACCAGCATTACACTAACCTCCAAAGAAATGGAAGCCTAATTTGTAAGTCAGCTGAAGTAGACGAAGTAATTTTCCTAAGAGATTCCACTGCTGAAATGTTCAGCCCCGTAGCATTTGAGATAGATGTGCTATGTATAGTACTTTTGGCCTGCCCCTGGAATCAGTGTGCACTATTTCCATCTGGGCTGTTATGCCACAAATTCTGTCTCACCATTGCAAGCAGAAGTGGCACAGAGAGCAAAGCAAGTCTTCTGCATGGCATCTCTTCTGCATGGCTGGCTGTGGAGCAGAAAGGCACAATGTACACCAGGTACCTTGTTTCCTGGATAAAGCTGGGCAAAATGTAATTGCTTCTGTGGCTTCATAAAATGCCTCAAAAAGATCTCTTAGGGAAGATCTGCTCACACTCACATCTTGAAATGCCAGCTGAGGGCATAGAATATCATCACTCCTGGTTCCTTCTCTTAGAACGTGGTTACCAAACACAGTGCTGAACCTGCTGTGGCTTCCCACAGTTGATCCTAGGATACAGACATAAGGCATACCTTCAATTACTGATATAATTGTTTTCGTCCATATATGGGCTATGTTGTAGAATCTCATAACATAACTGCCAGCATGCAGCATTCTGGTCATTATCCATCTATCATTGATGCAAAACCATGTGTTCTTAGCTGAAGAAGTCTTTACTGACATTTCTGTACACTTCTCTCCAGAAATCTTTCTGGAAATACTCTTCAAGACTTCAAGAAATACAATTTCTATTTGCTCATTCAATACAACTTTGATTTTTCTGAACTTCACATGGAACCAGCAATTCCCATGTTAAGGAGCATTAGAGGTGGTTGGTGGGATGTATGATGATTCTGGCTTGCAGTGATAATTTAGGGAATTTTCAGCACACAACAGTATTTATTTATTTTTTTCCCTTCTAAATCAGATAGTGAAACATCACTTTACCTTCAAGGTTGCCCTACACTTCAGTATATGTGACCCTCTGTCTGCAAACAAACAAACAAACAAAAGCATATTAGTGTTTTAGCACTTTAGGGCTCATTTTTGGTCTGATCTGCATTATGGCCTCCCAGGACAGATAGGACACACCACTTTGAATTTACATGGGGATCCTCCAATTTCTTCCTCTGAGATTTCTGAAAACTTGACATGTCTGCAATATTCTCAGTAGTCTTTGAAAATTATTTACAGATGACAGGAAGAAGTCTGGTAACCTCCCCTATTTGTCTTAGGATTTTTCCAATTAGAGAATCCGGGCAATGTGAAAACTCAGCTGTATCTGCTTAGCCAAAAGAAGATCACACCCAAAAATTTGTTCAGTAGTCAACTGGAACAATGGAGGTGTGGAAAATCATCAGAGGAAGATGAGTAGAAAGCAAAACTTTGTTTTTTTAGGAAGAGACTGAGGCTGTTAATAATGCATCTCAGTAATGCTGGTAGAGTTGGATATCAGCAGAGATTTCTCAGTAGAGCAGCCAGAAAAAGCTGATCTCCCTGTTGTAGCTTTTCAGCAGCATGAAGCATTTTGCAGCATACTGGTTTCATACAGTACTCCTTGAAGAAGTGTCTAGAAGTTGGTAGAATGAGTAAGAGGAACAATGACTGAGCTGTCAATCATCTTAGAAAATAAGTGCATTTACAGTTCGGACTTTTTTTTTCCTCATATAACCTTGTAGGTTCCTTTCCTCTTTCATCACAGAATTTTATTGATAAGAAAAAGTTTACAGTACGCGAGGTTACCTGAAGACACACAGAGTGCCAGGAGTGAAGGCAGCAGGGCTGGAGGCTGCCAAGGTACCATCTCCCCCTTCTGGAAAAGGAAAACCCTGGATCCACACAGCACTGTGGTCCCAGAGGAATGGCAGATGGCCACGCATATCTCAGATATCTTTGGTGATGGGGGATTGGTAATTCTCATGCTTGGAATGATGGAAAATGTCACTCTTCACTGAAAAAGAAATGAAGCGAGTTAGCCTTCCTTCAGAAGGAAACAAGCACTGAGAAGGGATCTCAGCCACATAGAACGTTTCTACTCTTGAGTCAAGAAGGCCCTGCTTACTAAGCAATACCCACTTCAGAGAAAGGAAGAAGGCAGACATAAATGAATGAAAAAACTTGTGTGCCTCCCACAAATTTGAGATTGCGAGTCTCTGGTCTCAGTCTTTTGCCCTAAATTTTATTTTATTACAGTGGTAGATACAGACCATAAATAAAATGAAGTAAAATATTCATTTGCTTGATAACTAAAACAAATTTCTCTACCTATCAATATACTCCTCGAAGTATGACTAAATGTGGACGGATGTCAAGTGAGTCACAGAAACGATAAATAATGCTGTTTGTCCTTGTGTGTCAGCTGTTCTGCTGTACAAAAGTCATTCTACGGTTACAGAACTTGTAAAGCTAAATGAGACAGTAAGAAATTATTCTTGGTTTTCTTTGCCATTAAATATCAAAAAAACAAAAAAGGGAAAAAGTCATTACATACAGTTCCGATGTTCTGATTCTGATTCTTCCTAAGGATATCTACTACACTGGAGACAAAGTCTAAACGAATGTTTTATTGCAAAGGGATTGGTAACCCACCTCGACTGGTGCCTTAGATTACACTCCTAATCTCTGACCACATGGTAACCATAAACCAGATTGGCAGAGGTATGAGTCAGTGTTCTTTCATGATGACAGTGAGGACAAGGTGGTTTGGCAAATGGCCTTGGTTGCTGTTTGCTTAACAAGGAGAGTATTTTAGCAACAAGCCTGGTAACCTAAAAGCATAACTTTTCAGGTCCAGGTCCCAGCCCAAGAGCCAGATTCATACTCAGAAGAGTCATGTGAGTCTCTTGTCATTGCTTTCGCTCTAACTAGGGCTTCCTCTGCACAAAAACTCTGCATGGCTTTAACTCTACCACTATCTTTCTTGGCTGCTCAATTTCCCCCAGTGGCCTCCAGCCGCCTCCAGATAGGCAAGGGGAAAAAGTAGTTTAAAATAATTAGCTCAGAGAGCACTTCCTCCAAAAGGTACTGCCTTTCCCCAGCCGCCTTTTTCTACTCTGTAATCATGGCAGTGGCCTCAAAATAGAAGCAGCATTTTTTTCTGAGATATCTGTAATCCTCAAGTAGGAGAGCTTTCTGTAACTGAGCTACTGTTCCCTGAGAGTAAAGGGACAGCAGGACAGCATCTTGACAATGCTTTTGGATAGCAAAGGCAAGTTTGCCATGAATTTTTGCATGCAGACTATGCATTTACAAAGCACTTGAAGTGCAGGAAGGAAAAAAAGTGGAACCCAGCTCCTTGGAAATGCCAAATAAACAGCACATTCAAAAGCAGCAATAGGGTAGCCTCTACATAGATGCTTATTTGCACTGAGGAAGATTTTGCTGGGGGTTTCCCTAAATGTCCCAGGTCAGAAGATGGTTTAAGTAAAGTAGAACTTAGTTTGCTGAATTCAGAGAGAGTAACATGTGGAGAAGATGTGCCCAGGGAGAGGCCGGCAGAAATTCTAGTACTGCCATTTACTTTGAAAAAGTTTAGCAAAGGCAACTTGCAGTTGTCAGCCAATGAAAATAACATAACTGGTAATGCAGTGGACAGGCTATGGAATGAGCTATAAACACAGAGACAGAAATTTAGAGGTATCAGCTGTGAATTCCCAGCCTCAGGGTGAATCATTTAGACCAGATGCAGCATTTCAAGGAATCGTTTCTAGTGAAGTGACTAAAGCCTTGGAGGAGGCCCAAGTGCAACATGTTCATAGGCATCCAGGAATCCCATGGGTCAGTTGAAAGAAATGATTTATTTAGGGGGTCCCAGGCCAGATGGGACTTCTGCAGATGATGAGGAGACAAAGGCCAAAGGAGGTGGAGTGGCCCAAATGGAGGGAAGCCTCATGCAGGAAACCAAGAGCTACAGAATTGTTGGCACACCACCAGCAATGAATGGAGACATAGAACCAGAATAACCCAGTTGGAAGGGACCCACAAGGATCATAAAGGCCAACTCCTGGCTCTACACAGCACCATCTCAAATTTAAACCCTATATCTGAGAGCGTTGTCCAAATGCTCCCTGAACTCCAACAGCTTGGGGCTGTGACCCTGGGCAGTCTGTTCCATGCCCTGGTGATGAACCTTTTCATAATCCCCAACCTGACCATCCCTTGGCACACCTCCATGCCATTCCCTCAGGCTCTGTCCCTCTGTTTCCTTTGCTCCCCTCCTGATGAGATTGAGGTCAACATGAGCCCTCTCCTCAGCCTCCACTGCTCTGGGACGAACGCACCAAGGGACCTCAGCTGCTCCTCATATGTCTCACCCCTCACCATCTTCATAGCCCTTCTCTGGATACCATCTAATAGTGTTATGTTCTTAAGACGTGTTTTTCATGTGAAAAAAAAAAAAAAACCAGACATGAAAGCTGTATGCTCTGCTGAAGTGAATAGCTGATAAGGCAAAGTGCTGTTGGGCTGTGACTTGGTGAAACCTTGATCCATGGAAAATGCTCAAGAGACGAAGGGAAAGAAAACATACTTCCAGAATAACACCGGGAAGTGTTAATGACTGCTTGACACAGAAAGAAAATCATCTCCTTTTAACCCTCCGGTCTGTGGAAGTTGGATTATATTGTGATCGGTATTTCTACTGCTACTGTAGCAAGAGTTCCCTTCATGTAAGGGCCCAGGAGGGGTTGTGGGCTACTCGACAGAATAAATGTGCTTTGGAAATGTGTTGAAGCCCCCCTGGCTGGAAGCTGGCAGGAGGAGATATGGCTTCAGGGAGTTCTCCAGGCTTCAGATGTTTCTAGAATGAGTATGGAGTGGCAAAGAAGAATTACTCCTTCTGCTAGCTCCAAAGTAGGTCATTGTGCAATACTACTCCTAAGTGGATCTGTTGGAGGATTTGAAACTACAGCTGTGCAGTCAGGTTCTCTCCTAGTCAGTATGCTGCCTCACAAGGCACTAGAAATTGAGCTCTAAGAACAACAACAATAAAAAAAGTGATTAACATTTCCAGATCATGAGGACAATAGCCAAACGCTCCACAGCATGTCCTGGCAAAGAAGTGTGAAACGTCCCACTTAGTATAAGATGAAGGGAAACATTCACAGAGACAAAAAATAGAAGCTTAAGTTCTAATAGACGCCATTTTCATTACATTTGCAAGAATTTGTGCATTGCAAACAGCTATAATATCAGGTGACATATCACAACGTGCCCTTATATTTTTTTCTTGTCATAATGGATAACTGTGAGGGATTACACTGGGTGGTAGAAATGGGCTTGGCCACATCTGCCTCATCTTGAATTTCCCGTAGCACAACTTTTAAGGAAAAAGAAAACAAATCAAAACCCCTCCATGACTTCTCCAACAAATGAGTCAAAGCTTTGCAATCACTAAAAGAAATGCAGTTCAAAATAGTGGCCCACCTCAATACAATCAAAAGCAAAATATCGTTATTGGTTCTGATTTGGAGCCTAGGTCATCCAATTACAGTGACATTGACAAATTAAGGCAAAGCACAAACAACTGCAAATTCTGCAGAGCACCTTTCATATTCATGATATACCAGAAATATTTCGGAGGATGATAAATTATCTAACTCAAGATATGAAAACTGAAGACACCCAAAAAAACCCACAGGAGAAAGATCCAGCACAAGCCCAAGGAACTCTGAAGCTTTTTTAGAAGATTGGTTTAGAAGGTTTAACTTGTTACGGATGTCATTGGCTTCTGTATAGAAGCTTTCAAGACACAAATTGCACATAATGGATGAGTCTGGTCGGCACCAGCATTTTAGTCTCACTAATAGACAGAATAAAAATGAAGAACGTGTGATATCCCCTAGACTTGAGCAGGCAGTTCCACACTGGAGCCTGCAAAGACTGGTGGTCTTCCTGGAGCCACCAAGATCACAGCAATGATCACACTGCTTGTGCTTTTTTGTCAAACAAAAGAGGGAAAAGTTGTACCAGGAGTACACAAAGCACTCAGAGGTGATATAATGTTTTTTTTTAGTAGGACATTTCTCCGTTCGTATTATATTATGCCTTGGCAAATGGAAGTTGGGCCAGAGCTTTTACTGAGAGTGTTCCTAGAAGTCTTAATCTTCTACGTGTTAGAAGACCACTTTTCATAAATAAAGCTATATTTATCATATAATTTTAATTTCCAGTATATTTACCTTGTTCTACATCTGATACCAGCTGACTGAGAAACAACAAGAGTTTCAATCCACCCAGGATCTCTTTTCAAGAACAGTCCTGTAAACCATAGGGTGTGCAAGGATTATTTGCTATCATTATGTAGCTACACAGATTTAGAAATATATATATGTTCAGATATTAATTGAAACATTTATGTGAATAAAAAATAACCACCTGGGGATAAGGCCTTAACCGTCACCACCTGTTCACACGGTGGAGAGCCCAGCTGGTCTCCAGTCCTGTAGCTCTCTGGCTGGGAGCTGGGAGAACAGGGTTAAGGAGTGTGAAGGAGGTGGTGCCTAGAAGGAAGGGAGTGCCTGGCATTAGTCATCAACACTAGGGTCTGAATCAGTTCACAGAGTACTGATTCAGCAAATTAAACACTGATGAGAAACAGGAGATGTGGCCTCAACACTGCACTGAAGCAGAAGACAGCTGGGAAGCCTCCGGTGATGCCAGAGATGTGGCTCTGAAGTCCTTGCATGATGCAGACCTGGCAGGACATTCCCATGGTCTCCATGGGGGTGGATAGAGGTGTGCAGGAGGGAGGTCATCCTATCTCTTAGAAGAGCCACGAGCTCTGGATGTGTAGGAGGTGGCCTGGTGAGCATGTGGCCACCTTCAGAGTTTGCTTTTTCCAGTATATTTTTGCTCACCCATAGCAGAGGATGTAAATGCTTATACTTAGGCATACTGTGCCTGAGAGCAGTTGCCCACAGTTATACAAAGCAAATGTGCACGGGGAATGCCACATCATCAGTCCTCTGAGGGTGCATGGAGAATTACTGCCAGCACAGTATGATGTTTGCATAAGAGCATTTGATCTGTGCTTCGTACTGTGATTCACAGGGCTCTGCCCTGCTGGAACAGCTAGAAGTTAATACCTGTGCTTTTATACCTCATGCTAGTATTCAGCTCTCCACAGCAAATGCATCAGTAACAGTAAAATTGCAGCAGGCATTACAACCCAAGTTTAACACAGATATTTTTAATTCGTTTTCATTTTTCCACATATTCTTTCTTAACCGTATTTTCAAGCTTACACACTGGGTTTTCCACTGCAAACCCTGCTTCATTTAGTTGAAAACCAGAATGCTAACATTTAGAATTGCAAAGTTGCCAGTGCTGTTTAAACATCCTCCTTAAAATACACAGTTTCGCAAAAATGAAAGTGGTGCCTATGTATTTTGAAGAGCTAAAAATGACACTGCATTCAAAGATACGAAGCATGAAAAGAAATGACACATTAAACTATGAATAATTCAGTTTTCACTTGTTCTCCAGAAACTTACACCGCTTTCTATATAAGCAGCCACTAGAGCACCAACATCAGTCATCAAACAAGTTTGAAAACTACACAGGATTTCACTCCAGGACTTTTTTTTTTTTTTTTTTCATTAGGTGCAGCATTTTCAAAAATATGCTTTCTCATATTTTCATTTATAAAAGCACAGGTCTACTATATAAATAACATTGTTCAAAGCAATGGTGTTTCCTCTTCCTTCCTTTCTGTCAGCTCAACCATTCTGTATCTCAGTTTCCTGACTCTAAATGCATCACAAGACTTATGAACACAAGAATTTAATGATGTTTTGTGTACCATTATTTTCACGTGTTTTTGCATTCTGCATATTTTAGGAAAAATGTGTAGGTAAACCAGAAGTGATGAAAAATAATTGGCTTTTTGGGTGGATCAAAAGATTAGTATCTGCCAGTTCTGGACATACCAGAACAAGTAGGTCTCAGACTCCTGGTTAGGCTACTGAATGATCTCTGCTTTCTGTCTTAGAATCATGGAATCACCAAGGTTGGAAAAAACCTCCAAGATCATCCAGTACAACCATCCACCTGTCACCAACATTTCCCCTTTAAACCATGTCCCTTAGTACAACATCTAAATGTTTCTCAAACACTTCCAGGGACGGTGACTCAACCACATTCCCAGAAAGTCCATTTCAGCCCATTCCAGCTCCTGACCATTTTGTATGGCTGGCACTATGGAAATGCAAGGGAACAAACATTTCATGCAGCTTCATTGTTAAACAGCTGGTTATCACAGCAAGCATGTACTTTGGCAGCTAATTTGGCATCTTGGTTTGTTCTTTTTTTCTTTTGTAGATTTATTTGTTTGTTTCCTTTTAAGCGTGGTGTGGCTCTCTGAATATTTCCAATACAAGCAGACTTTGCTTAAGGGAGAAGCTGAACTGCCTGGACCCATCTGTCATTGTTTGCCCGAATGGTCCTCTGGGGATGTTTCTGCTCCTTCTGTTTCTATGAAAGCAGGCTGATGGCCAGCTGCATGATCCCCATCCAGGAAGTCCACTTGGCCACTGTTCATGTACTGTCTTCCCTCTGGCACAGCCACCTCTGGTGGTCTGTGAGGCATCAAGTCTCATATTGAAGAGCTATTGAGTTCTCTTGAAATACAAACAATAGCGCTGTGTCAAAGTACACTACAAAGCAAAGGAATGTTGGCAATAAAAATTACTTGTAAGCTATGATTAAGATACTAGCAGGACAATTTATAACATTGTTTTATATGACAACAACCAAGATCAGAGGTTTTGTCTCTTATTTCCCTATGAAAACCTTATCAGGATGAAGCTGAGTCATATCACTCTACAGATTTGCAGCAGGACTCCCTCCTACGTGGGTTTTTCAAGAACTTGCTAGCGTGCTTTATTCAGCTCAGCCCACTATGACCATCTCCTCCCCATTCACCACCTAAATCATTGCTGCACAAGCAAGCCTGGATTTTGTTATTGTTTGTTTTGGAGCCACAATAAACCCATTCATCTTTGAAAAGCTTAATTTCACTTCAAAGTGATTTTAAATAAATAATAGCTTAGAGCTGTTCTGGTTTTCTTTCTTTCTTTTTTTTTTTTTTTCCTTTAGTTTCAGTATGTTCTCATTTTTACATTTTAATTGAACAGGCCATGAAATTATATACCAAGGATATCACTGTCACAAGAGCTGTGAGAATGATTGCCACAATTTGTTCTTAGCCATGTACAACTGCTGCAGAAGCCACTGTGATACCTGCCTACTGTAAGTAACTAAACAGAAATGCAAGTGAGGACATGTGGAGCAGTGCATGCAGCTGCTTTTGGACTGAGCTGGCTGAATGCAAGCCAGACTGCTCTGGATATTAGGTAGCTGCACTGACTAGAAAGCTAAGAACACTGTTGATAAGCCCTGCTGAGAGAGCACTCATGGTAAATATAAGCACAGTGGTTTCATTTTCATATCAGAGTTGGCCTGTATCCTGATAGCTCAGAGTGTAAGAGTAGACAAGCAACTATCCACATGCAGACATGTAGATATACCCCTACAGGAATGTATAGGGTCCTTTCATCTTCAGAGAGGGCATCAGTGCCAAAATGTTCTGTCTTTTTTTGAACCCAAAATATTTTGGGTTCTCCATTCTCCCCCGTTCTTTTTGTTGAATGAAACGTCACCTCCATCCTGATGCATATTAAGGCCCCCATATCTCAGTTTGGACAGGGAAGGCTGACAGCTCTTTCACTGCTGGCGGAATAGCAGTGCCTGGATGAAGAGCAGCTGGCTTGTTATACAGAACAACCTTCTTCAAGAAAATCAACCACTTATTCAGGAGCCTCAGTTCAGGCTTCCTTTGTACACCAACCCAACACAGCTCTTCATCCAAGTGAGTGCTTTTTCTTTTGAATCTTTCTGTACTCTCCTGTGCAGCAAAAGATTGGGATGTCTGACACTCAACTACATCTCAGTTTATGCAGATCTGAGATTTGGTAGACACTGGATACAATTTTGCAGGACTGGATTACATGTTAATTCAATTCAGATGAGCCAGAGGTGGGAACTGCAGCCAGATCCCAAACTGCCTGCTACAACTTGTTTGAAGACAGTTCAACTCCTCTCTGCAAATGCAGCCTCTTGTAAGAGCTGTGTTGTTCTAGCCCAGCTGATGCCACTTCTCCTTTACCTGCCCTAAAAAGCCTGGCATCTCCTCTGAAAGGTGAAATTAAGGAGACAACTCTCCTATCTACATCAGTTCTGCTGACTCCACTTTCCCCCGCAGTTTACTGCACAAAAAAAAAAAAAAAAAGGCAGCCAAGAGTGTTTTAAAAGAACATGAGGAGGTTGCAAATAATGCAAAACTTAGGGAATGCAGCCTCGAATTATAATAGTTGGTGTAGTCTATAGACCTTGGAACTAACCCTCACCCATAAATATCCCCACATTTTTCCTTGAGAGGCTTTATTTCCCAGTGCGAGGGAGGAGATCATAAGCATTGGAGACATGTTAAAATGGCATCTATCAGGCCATAGCAATGAAATATCAGTGAAGGACTTTTCAAGGCTACAGAGATACACCATCTCTGTAGTCTACTCTACTTTTGGTCTCATATATATATATATATATATATATATATATATTTTTTTTTTTTCTATTTTAACATGCAGAACTGAAAGAGATGCTTACCCACAGCAGGAAAGGGGAAGTCAGCCAACAGTGAAGAACCATAATTTATATAATCCAGCTCGGAAACAGAAATGAAAGACAGAAAAAAAGACCAAAAAAGAAGAAGTGCACACCCTAAGTCTATACCCAGAAGGACATTTTGAATGATAGTATGAGTTACCTGAAAGGACAGGAAAATCCAGACATTCACCTACTCAGTCTTCATATCATGCAGCATATGACTCAGTTCAGATGGAGAAAATATCTCGAGCTGTCTGAAGGGCAAAGAGAAGAATGTAATCATCAAACACTTCAAGCTCCTCCAGAAGAGACTGCAAAAAGCTGGAGAAGAACCATCAAAAGCACAGAAGGAAGGAACAAGCAGACAGATCTGCTTCCAAATTTTAAGGCATTTAAACAGATTACACCATAAAAACTTCACCCTGCCTCATCCCACATGTCTCATCTCCACGCATGGATATCTTTGGCTTTGGTTTCTTTCTTTGAGGGTAAGTGGCCCAGATAGTAATCAGAACACATAGGTGACACTGCCTCTGATGTGTGCCCTCTTTGGATGCTTCTTGTCTTGCTCCATTTAGCTGACGAATTGAAATCAACAGCACCTCATAAAAATGCTCTCCTATTCCATAGGTGTATCTGGGTTCTATGTGCATTGTTAGCTAGCATGAAACTAAAGAAAATCAGTCCAAGAGCCTCAAATGCAGGTGTCTATTTAGAATCTGCATGGAGACAACTGGGTAAATGATCAAGCATGCTGATCGTTTATAGACTTCCATTAAAATCACCTGCATTTTCCAAGTCTGAGTAGCTAATTAATGTCTTTCCACATGGGCACATATGTCCTTTGACAGGAGAATATCAATGCGTGGATGTTGGATGAGCTCATCAGAAAAGGCACACATAGTAAAGTCTGTCACCATTTTGGTGAGATCCCATTTAACCCGAAAATCAGAAGTCTCAACATTCAGAAAAGCTTTAGGAACTTAGGAATATAACTTATGTATCTGTAGACTGAATAGGGCAGTTGGTCGGTCAGCCCTCAGATTAAGCCTACTCTTTTTCTTTTCCTGTTTCTTCCTCTTTGCTCTCTCCTATTGCATCACTAGACTGCTTCTGCATGCAAAGGTTATTTTGCACAAGATACCTCCTTTTCCAACAGAAAAAATCAATATGAAGAATTTAGCACCTTTACCACCTATCCATGATTCTGTGGGTACAACACTATGATACCATGTCAGCAGCCTTGACTTTCTGCTCTGCAGGTCTGAAAGAACCACACCAGCCTTGATAGCAGTGCCACGTTACAAAGTTCCAGCATTCATACAGCAGTGGAGCGTATGAGAGGAGTAAATATCACCTTCCTGTCACAATGAAACACCTATTGGCTACACCATCAGTAAAGGAATTTTGCCCGGTTGCCAAGCATTATCTAGGCCATACAATTGTGCTTGCAGCCAAAAGGGGCTGCAACAGCCCACCCTTGGGAACTCAATCTGGCAAGTCCGAAGCATACTAGCAAGACATCTAATGAATACATGACCATTTGTGAGTAATTCACTTCACCAATGCTGCTCTTAAGCACAGAGCTAATCTGATGTTAAGGTCTCCCATTAGGCTGGGCTTTGTGGCAGGATTGAACCCTTTTTGCTTTATCTCCCAACTTGACCATGTTGCAGCGCATAGCACTGCATTGGATGGTTAGGGTACAAGAACACTGCTAACAATTCAGATTGAGCAAAAGCGATATGCGAATCACTCCACACGGAGAGTTCATGTCACTGTATTACAGCTGACTAAAAGCGAGGCTCCTCTAGGTGCCTTCACCTTTTACATATCAAACCAATATGGGTCATCCCATATCAGACCAACCAAGATTCTTGGTGCTGGCATCGTTATGAGAGAGGGGCTGTGCTATGGCAATTACATGACACAGATTGAGCAGCAGGAAAACATGAATTAGTGATGTCTTAATGAGACTAATGTATATTGTGTGTAAATTTCCAAATATGTATACAATCAGAATCATAGAATGCTTTGGGTTGAAAGGGACCTTAAAGACCATATAAATTCAACCCCCTGCTGTGGGCAGGGACACCTTCCACTGGACCAGGTTTCCCAAAGCACCATCCAGCCTAGCCTTGAACACCTCCAAGGATGAGGCATTCACAGCTTCTCTTGGCAATCCATTCCAGCACCTCACCATCCTCATTGTGAGAATTTCTCAGTAGCATGTAATTTAAATATCCCCTCTTGCAGTTTAAAGCCATTACCAGTTGTCCTATAACTTCATGCCCTTGTAAAGAATCCCACTCCTGCTCTTCTGAGAGGTCTGGAGCACAAGTCTTATGAGGAGCGGCTTGAGGGAGCTGGGATTGTTCAGTCTGGAGAAGAGGAGGCTCAGGGGAGACCTCACTGCACTCTACAACTTCCTGAAGGGAGGTTGTGGTGAAGAGGGGTTTGGCCTCTTCTCCCAGGCAACAAACAGGACCTGGGGAAATGGCTGCAAGTTGTATCAGAGGAGGTTTAGGTTAGACATGAGGAAAAACTTTTTCTCTCAGAGTGATCAGGCACTGGAATGGCTGCCCAGAGAGGTGGTGGAGTCACCGTCCCCGGCAGTGTTCAACAGGCGTCTGGACGAGGAGCTACGAGATATGGTTTAATTTGTGGTAGCAATGGTAATTAGAAGATGGTTGGACTAGATGATCTTACAGGTAATTTCCAACCTTGTGATTCTATGATTCTATGAACCCCAATTTTCTCAGTCTGTCTCCATAAGAGAGGTGCTCTGATCATCCTCATGGCCTCTTCTGGACTCAGTTCAACTGGAGACACCAGAACTAAATGCAGTATTGTAGATGGAGTTTCACAAGAATGGAATAGATGAGGGACAACCACCTCCCTCTCTGCTGACCACACCTTTTTTGACGCAGCCCAGGATGGCTTTCTTGGCTGCAAGCACACATTGCCAGTTCTTACTGAGTTTTTCATCCACCAACATCCCAAAGCCTTTCTTTGCAGGGCCGCTCTCCACCCCCTCAGCATCCAGTCTGTGTTTGGGATTGCCATGACCCAGTTGCATGACCTTGCACTCAGCCGTGTTGAGCTTCATGAGCTTTGCATGGGCCACCTCTCGAGCCTGTCAGGGTCTCTCTGGTCAGCATCCCTGCACTCCTGTGTGCTGTACCTACAACTACGGTTCACATCACAATTCACCACAGTGCTACTACAACTTGTACAATTGTCGTCAAAATACTGTGTAATTTCTTTTATTTGAGGAATCTAGTAAGCCACAATCATACATTGTCACAGTTTTTATCACAGCAATGCTGAATTGAGGCTCTCAGCACAAGTAGGTGTCATAAATGTCAAGACTGATAAGAAGTTGATCATCCCCTTATCTGAGGAAGTCACCTTGGCTCGTTACATTTAGGTCACAAAACGTAGAATTCTTAAAGAACTAAAGGGTATTTTCTTTCAGTGGTTTAACAAAAATTATGATGTATCTTGGATTTTATATTAGGTGTATGATCATACGAGTCATTAACTGAACAGAAAATAAAAATGAAACCAAGAATAAAAATTTTACAACTACTTATCTAAAGAATAAGGAAGTAAAAGGTAACAAGGGTTCACTGAAAATAAATCTTGCAGAAAAACTTGAATATGTATTATAGTTCCTCTGTGTTGGTTTTTTGTTTGTTTGTTTGTTTGTTTTCTGAGTACCAGTTTCACAATGCCATAAATAAAATATTGGAAACAAAGCTCTCCAATGATTTTCATCTGGCATGGATATTAAAGCAGACGGTGTCCTGAGCTACTTGTCTTCAGCTGAAGGGCTTGACTTTAGCTGACAAATCCAGTGGAGTACCCAGAGCTGCAGAGTATTGACAAGTAAAAGACAAGCCACAGACTCACAGAGCAGAGAAGTTCAGCTTTGGAGTGCCTGGTACTAGCTCAAAAATACAGCCGAGTGATGCAAAACATTTAAGTGACACAAACTCATTTTGGCAGTTCGAGCTTACTGAAACATTTCTGAAAGGACGACTTTTTCCTAGCAGATGGAATGCTGGTATGTGCAACGTTTCTCTGCAATCCATCATAATGTCAAAGCAAATGAGGCAATTTAAGGAACAGAGGCAAGAATTATCCGGAAGAGCTGTTTCATAGAAAAAGGTTAAAAGAGCTAAATACATCTAGTTTTGTTAAAGCAGAGATAGATGGAGGCATATCTTAAGTCAGCAAACACTTAAGTAATGTAAACCTTTAAGACGGGGAGGAAATACTTGGGCTTTTATAAATGGGAATAAGTTGTAATAAAGGAAAAGAGGATGGGGTAAGACTATCAGAAAATCTTCTTGGCAGTGAAGAGCAGGACTTGCGCACACTTTTCAGATGAAGTGACAGGAATTTTTAAATTAAATCATTTTAAAATGAACTTGAAATATACTAATAAACAAGCTACCAGGAGTAAGTTTGTACCGACAGAAGAATGACTGAATGGTCCACATGCTTTCTCTCTTTATTTTTCTTTTTTTTTCCTGGTTTATTTTCAAACAATTTATCATTTTCAACATCTGCCAAAAACAAAGAGAATTTAATCCACAGTACATTCACAACAGAAATCTCAATGACAATGTAGCAGGTTGCATTTCCCACTGTGACTTTTCATCCTCCCAGATGAACTTGTGAAAAGGACCCCACAAACACTGCAGTGTCACCTTGATTTGATCAGAGTGCCTCTGCAGGAGAGACAGGCAGTTCGAACATCTGATTATCGCTGTAGGATTCTGATAGATAACCTCTTATGAATACCAGCAGCCATCGAGGTTCTGGCTTCTAACTGACTGCTCCACCACTCTCCCAGAGCCTCCTGACTCCATTGTAAAGATGGCAGGACAGAAACTGCACATCCATATTTTATCAGTTCTGGTTCTTTGCCCAAAAAAAGAGTTTAGAGTCTCAATGAAGGCAGCTTCCATGACAGTCGGAAGCTGACCTTTGGATGTTCAGAGGAGAAATATTTTGAACTACTATCTGACTAGTCAGTTGCTGAACATCATTGT